TTTCCAACCGAGCGATTCTGTGTGTGATTGTCTGCGTGAACTGTAAACCAAAGGTTACAAAAAAAAAAGACATGATTTATCCTAATATACCTGGAAGGTTTCCGTTGTCATCCACATCATCCAGACACGCTCCCCATCTAACAAGAAGCTGCAAACAGCCCAAGCGGCCATGAAAAGCAGCGTAATGAACAGGCTTCCAGTTATTCCTGTCTGAAACATTGACATTCTAAAAGGAACAAATGAAAGTGTTGCAGTCAAGGGAACATTTTGATTGATCGAAGTGGTTAAAGTAGGTATTTGCTTGAACTGCAAAGCTAAAATTGCGAGATATGTGTGTAAAAGTACTTAGAGAAGGTACCTACCATACACAGGCACCTACCAGATGTAGAATAGTTGTGATAAGACAAGGAATAGGCAATAACTTTTCTTGTTTCTGCATGCCAAAATTATTTAGAGGTAAGCTTCTGAAGTAAATCAATGTCTCGAATAAAATATTATGGTGGTTAGGAACAATTCAAGATAAAGGGCAAATTAAAAGGTGGATATTTTATGTAGACTTGTATCATCTTGTGAAATCACTTTGTTAAACGGGAATAAATGAGCTGTGAAACTGTACGGACTCTGGAGCACAATTAGTGGAGCTCTCCTCTGTGTTTCCCCAGCGCTGCAATAAAGAAGTGCCTGCTCATCTGCAACTGTGTAGATAAGTTTTCTTGTGATTGTGACCCCGTCAACAAAAGCATCAGGTTAATTCATCTGTTTATGAACCTTAAACGTGAGGCAAATTTTATACATAGGCATCAGCTGTTCGTTGTGTTCATTATTAATTCAAATAGCTTTTTTCAAAGTTCATGCCACGTATGCAGTTCCCATTCCAGGGGAGGTACTTTTCACAGGTTCTTGTTTAGTTTTTGTTTTTTTTTTAAATAATACACACAAAAGGCGCATTTTTAGACATACTCCATCACTGCATTGGTCATTATCCATTAAATAGGCATCTGAATTATTGTTTTTTAAGTTTATCTCTCCTTTACTACAGAAGATCTGTACAACCGCAAAAAAAACCACAACCACCACAGTGTCTGATCTTCATTTAATAATATCCTCAGTAGAATGTGGTTTACTCCCATTATTGATTCTCTCTACATTTTTGGATCATTTCCCTAACGTATCTCACAATAAATAGGAAATTTACACTAAATTCACCAACAAGCATGTGCCAACAATAATTAACTGACTAAATCTCAGTTGAATCTTAGGAAATGTTCATTTGGGAAAAGGGAACTGCAGGGAAAAGTCTCTCACCGCTCCACTTCGCAGTACGGTCTGCAAGGTGTACGACTGCCCATGGGCTGCAGCCAAGTGGGACGGCGTGCAGCCACGATCATCTCGAGCCTCTGCGTTTGCTCCGTTTATTAACAAAGCCTAAAAAAAACCAGAAATGCAAAGCAGCAGTTTCAGTTCCCAAGCTGAAGAAGCAAACGTTGCCCAGCAGGACGACTTGAGGCGATCAGCAAGATAACTCTGGGCTGAGATCAAGGTCCCCGACGCTACGCGAAAGAAATCTGTTTCCGCAGATAGTGCTGGTTTTAACAGGAGTGACTTGATTCCAGATGTAAAGACATCAAGGTGAGATACTGATACATACCTGCATGCAAGCGTCCTGGCCTCGGATAGCTGCAAGGTGAGCCGCTGTCCAGCCTCGGCCCGTTACGAGTGTTACATCTGCCCCGTGCCAGAGCAACCAGTGAAGGCACTGCTCAACCAAAACCAACATTTGTTTTATTTAACGACTCCTGTCACGTGTCTGAGGAACATTTCAGCTATAATTTATCAGCAGACGTTACATTTCAAAGCAGTATGGGAATCCTTCATTACAGGAATACAACACCCCTAGAGCACGCCTTAGCCAGAAACTTGTGCATGAGGAAGTTACAGGTAACTCACAGTTTCCAGGTTTCACCCAAGGGTATCAAAACGGCAAAGAAGTGACTCATTCAGACCCTAGCACTGATGTTGCAGTATGGCTTCTTCATTTCACTGTTCCAGATTTCAAATGTAAGCTGTGAGAGCACTCCCGTCACATGAGGTGAAAGCATTGGAGAAAACAATGCAAACATGCTCCCTTGAATCGCAGCTAAAGTTACTGGCAGGAAAAATACCATGGCCAAAATTTAAAGCCTCATTTAACTTATTAGGCTCCTTAGGTGTACGTAATCCTAACTACTTTTATTCACCTTTTTCCAGTAGATATTATTGCCTGCAACTGAAAGCTTTATGGACTACTCAGAAATAGCTAGAGGACCAGTTGAAACTTTTTATTAGACTTTATGATGATTTATTATCTTCTATAGGCCAGTTTACGGTTCTGGTTCCTTCACTGTTTCCATTAAGGAGCTTAGCAACAACTAAGTGACAGATAATTAAATAGGGTTTAACACATTGATTGTAAAGTAGGAATGCCAAATGAAAAATGGCAGAATTTATAGAGGCAGAGAAGGTTGAGCAAGCAATCTGTTTTTAAGGTTGACAACACGATGATCTGCATTTTCTTGATGGTTTCTGTACATTTCAGTAACAACACCGCACTTATCACTTAATGAGTTTAGCAAGAACTTTACATTCCTTCCTTTGGGACACGAATTTCTATATGGTTATCCACAGGCTTGTTGCTTCACAGAATATCACGAGTTGGAAGGGACCTGGAAAGCTCCCCC